CCCCCTGCGAGGTTGGAACCCAGGACCTACTGGTTTCAACTGACTCATGATCTTAATGATTGAAATTACTACAATCTCCACAAAACCCCTTCTGATAACTAAAATATCGTCCACATCTCACTTATAAAGTGACTTGTTTTCAATTAGGTCTTCAAACAGATTTTAGACATGTGCCATGAACACATCTGCTAATCATGGTCTTAACGGACCATTGGTATTGTTTGCTTATATCTTCCCATTATTGTTAAGGACTGAAATTGATCAATCACTTGTTGATATATGGTCATCATGTGTGTGAACATTAACTCTAGAATGCAGGTACATCCAAATGACGAGTCCCAAATAGGACAAAACGTGCATCCTGCATTCCACTACTAACCACCATTCATCTTTTCTTCTCATGAATATTCTTTAAAAAATGTACTAAAGTGAAATGATTTGATGTTTAACGATTATTTAAATGAATTCAGTTAGTCAGTAACAACGTAGAACATTGTACATACATACGTACATCAGTTCGAGTTACCATACCACATTAACACAGAGATACAATTGTCGATTCAAATCCCGTAGTGGTAGAGGTAGTAAAAGTGTAAGCAGTGATCGGAAACATTAGGGTTTGAAGATGTTATTCAAGGAGTATAATCCACTGAAATATATTTAGAAAGAGGAAAAACGGGACACGAAGAATTCGGAAGATTAGAATTTGGGAGAATGAATTATTACGAATTGGAACTGTAGTTTTATCTTTTAGTTATGTTACAACAGAAGAGCTACAAACCTTAAACCAATACAGAATTATAATATTCTATTCATTGATGAACAAGGAGTTTCAGATGCAGAGGTAAAAGCGTGGATTGGCAAAGCAAGGACAGCATTCCTTCAATTGAAGAACATATGGAACTCAAAACAACAGTCTATCAACCAATATCAAAGTCACAATCTTCAATACGAACGTCAAGGCAGTTCTACTGTACGGAGCTGAAACTTGGAGAACTACAACAACCACCATCAAGAAGGTACAGGTATTTATTAATAGCTGTCTACGCATGATACTCAACATCCATTGGCCGGATACCATCAGCAACAGCCTTTTGTGGGAGAGAACCAACCAGCTTCCAGCTGAAGAGGAAATTAGGAAAAGACGATGGAAATGGATAGGACATACATTGAGGAAATCATCAAACTGCATTACGAGACAAGCGCTAACTTGGAATCCTGAAGGGAAGCGGAAAAGAGGAAGGCCAAAGAACACACTACGTCAGGAAATAGAAGCAGATATGAAAAGGATGAATAACAACTGGAAAGAGCTTGAAAGGATTGCCCAGGACAGGGTTGGATGGAGAATGCTGGTGAGCGGCCTATGCTCGTTCACGAAGAGTAACAGGCACAAGTAAGTAAGTAAGTATAAAACGACTAACATACTTTTAATACCTTTATTCAAATAAAGGGAGATATCCCATTTACTTCAATACAGAATTTTGTCAACAGATTGAATTGTGTAGATTGTGACATCTTTTATAATAGAGTCTTCCTGTGGAATCTCGACACATACCAAGGAACATTTAAGTTACACAAAACGATTTAATAATCCTGTAGAATTTGAAAATCTAAAAACTAATTAAGTAGTAACAGTATGGTGTGTGTTACTTATATTGACATAAGTAGTATATGACGTTAGCCGTGAACATACTGTCTGGCAGCAAAGAGACAAGAGGATCGAATAGTAAAGAATGGAAACAGAATGCAAGAACAATAAAGTCTGGGCCATTTCGAGACAATTAATGGTCATTTTGCAAACTAAGCATTTTTTGTATATGATTGTTAGATTTTATTAACAAGTCCTGTAATTTTGTGTTAAATACATTCGATTATCCCCACCCGTGTCCTTGTTCACTACAATAGTATAACAATCACCAAATCGAGTATCGAAATAATTCAAATGAGATTGTAGGGTCAGTGAAGTGTTGCTGAACCCTGGCCAAATCATCCGACAGTTGGGTCACTGAATATCGAACAGATCATCGATCACCGTCAAGGTCAAGGACACGCATCAGTTAATCGTATGCAATAGACTGGTCCATGCGGTGGTGGTTTCACTACCTTCTCTGTACTTATTCCTACTAATATATTTCCGTAATAACGTCATTTGTGTTATACGGTTTTCAAAGCAGCCATAGGACATTAATACATCGAAGGAGAGGGGGAGGTAATCCACGTTAGATGATGATCGTGAGGTATGACTTTGAAGTTAGTTGGTTCATCACATGATTCCTATCTAACTTGAATAGACCCCCAATCATTTGAGAGAGATCATCAACGTTGATCATCTACAATATATTTTTCAAGGATAAGTGACTGAGGCTTTTCATATATTACTAATGCATACTATTCACAAAAGAAAAACAACACCTAACTTTACATCAAATATGGATCATTTATCAAACAACTACATTTAATGTATTCAAATCACAGTTCATTAACATACAATTTCACATCCAAACAGAGATGCGTATATGTGTGTCAGATAGAATCACCTTTGACCTGATTGACATAACATAAGTATATTCAGACTGTATTAAATGTTGTAATGAACTCCTCTATACTATATATACTTGTAAGCAAAGATGGATAGTAGCTAGCAGTGGGATCCAAGACGTGCGTTTCGTCCTAGTTCAAACACATCAGTGTATTTACACTTATGTTTAATTAATTCAATTACCTATTCCAAGTAAAAGTGACTAGCTTCGTGAGCGAATTCTTAAAGTTCTAGTGAGAAGCCATGACCAGTGGAGCTAATCCGTGTCGGATAAAGACAGGTATCTATCTCAGTACAATGGAAGATGGTCGAGCAATTTCGTGGATTGGTTGATGTTAGACACTAACACCATTGGATTCTGGTTCAGCGTTCGCACGCGAGACTGAAGGCCATGGGTTCGGATCCCTAGAGCGGAATCGTGAATGTGTACTGCTGAGGAGTCCCACAATTATCTAATTATCTTCTTATATCTTCAGTTGGATTTCAAAAGAGATTCAATCTATTGCTTGATTATTTTTCTATAATTTAAGATAATAAATACAAAATATTCATTACTTAAATACTTCCATAGTTGATACTTACTCATATTGTCAAGGTTGACAATAACTACATTGATTAAGATCATGAATCGATTGATATTAGACCACTGTTGAAAACTTGGAAGCACTAAATGGTCTTTTCGTCTTAGTATGGGACTACTCAACAATGCACATTCTTAATAATCTCCACAACCACATACTGATAATAATCATTATGTACTCACTAATGACTAGCTTCAAGATGACTTCTTGGAGTTCTAATGAGAAGTTATGACCAGTGGAGTTCAATCCGTGTCAGGTAGAGACAGGTATCTATCTCAGACAATAGATGAATAGTTGCACAGTCATTCATGAATCTATGGATGTCAGTTCAGTGGTTTAGAGGTTAAGCGATCGTTCGTGAGACCGGTAGGACTTGGGGTCGAATCCCGCGTGGGGTATCGTGGATGTGCACTGTTGATGAGCTCCATACTAGAACGAAACGGCCGTCCAGTGCTTTCAACTTTTCTACGATACTCTAGATTTAATTAAGTCATGAATTCAACTATAAAATTACTAAAAATTTCCACAAAACCCCCTTCTGATCATTTTTTTTAATGGTTGAGGTCATAAGTCAATTGTAACTAGAGTACAATGGAAAACCTGAAAGCACTGCACGACCGTTTCATCCTATTATGGGACTCCTCAGCAGTGCGCATGCACGATCCTGTCTCGTGAGATTCAAACTCAGGACCTACCGGTCTCACACACCAACGCTTAACCTCTAGATCACTGAACTGACCGGCATCAAACGGTGTTAATGTCTAACTTCAACTTATCCACGAAATTGAACGACACATTCACCATTGTCATCAGTGAGTTATTAATTCACAACAGACCAAGTTGAACTTCATTGATGACTACTTCTCACTAGAACTCCAGGAAATACCGCTTGAAGTCAGTCACTTTTGAGCATATATTGATTAGTACTAAAAGGGGTCTTTTGTGATGATTTCAGTAATTTCAATAGTTGAGATTATGAGTCAATTGAAGTTAGACCACCATGGAAAACCTAAGCAATGAGCATCTACGACCCCGCCTCGCGGGATTCGAACCCAGGACCTAATAGTCTCGCATCAGGCGCTTAATCAATTAGACTCATGATCTCACTTATTAAAATTACGACAATCTTCACAAAACCCCCTTCTGATTCTAATAGATTAGTTGTTTTGATCTATGCAAACAGGGTTTTTTTAAAAAAAATAATGATCTAAATTTATCAGACCTGGTTTTATTAATTTTTTTTTTCTGACTGCCCCTTTCAATGATCATCATTTGATTTTATTTGTTTTGTGTCTGTTCGTCTATCTATCTAACTAACTATCTATCTGTCTGCCTGTCTATCTGTCTATCTATCTCTCTATCTATCTATCAATCATTCTATCTCTCTCTCTCTATCTATCTATCTATATCTATCTTTCTCTTTCTCTGTCTCGGTCTCTGTCTCTCTCTCTCTCTCCTCGCTCGCTCGCTCGCTTACAAAGCCTTCTTAACTTCTCTCTTAACTTCACTAACCAACCAAATTAAAGCTAAACTTCGTCCTTCACTAGACTTATTGATTAGTGTGAAGCGAAGTATTTAATCTACCAACCATAGTTTAGCTAAGAAAAGAAGATAACTAAACACACACACATAGATACACATACATATATACACACACTCATTCACTCATTCACTCATTCACTCACTCACTCACTTATTCTATTACTTACTATACCTAAGTTCCTATTATAATTCAAACCAGTTAACCACAGTATATAGAAATCAGCTTAACACATTGATGATGATGATGATGATGATGCCTTTATATCATTATTGAGAGGAAAAAAGAAACGACCACAATCATAACAAGAAAAGAACAAGAACAAGAATACAACTAGTGAATGGCTCAATTTCAACCTATTTCATTAAGTCAATCGGTTCAGTTACCATCGCAACAATCAGTACAGCAGCAACAGCAACAACAACAACAACAACAACAACTTCTTCAACAAAATCCATGTCAATATCAATTGGAACCATGTGATATTAAACCACAATTTTCATTAATTCCATCAATTTCACAAAGTTTAACTAATAATAATAATAATAACAATATGAATCTAACATCATCATCCACATCTACATCCACATCTATTCAAGGTGGTATTGGTAATGTTGGTGCATTAATGACAACATTAGATAATGTTGTTAGTGGAATAAATAATGTTACAACAGGACAATTTGTTACATCAATGAATCATGTTGATGTTGCATCATTATTAATGAATCCAAGTAAACGTGCTGAAACATTTGTTATTGATGAAGTAAAAGTAATGTTAAAAGAAATTGAAGCTAGAAAACATATATTATTATCATTATCCCCATCAACTAATCGTTTAAAACGTCGTGCATGGGAAGAAGTTGCTGTATGTATGGCAAATCGTTGGCCCCATGCACCAAGAAGAACAGCTGATCAAGTAAGTAATTTCAATAATTAATTATAAGATAATGATGATAATGATATCATTGGAATACATCGGTTTTCATTGCGACACTTTGAGTTTAACCATAAATGAAAAATTGTTACATACTGAAATTGTGCGATGCTTGAGGTTATCTATTTATTTTAACACATAAGTATAGGTACAGGGAAGCACCAAGTACATATGCGCCACACAAATCTCAATTGATTTGTGTGAGGGCTGTGATACTGCCCGGGTGCCCAAACCGAAGCAGGTGGTTTTCTCAGGGGGCCACACCCCGAGCCTTTGACCTGAACGTCTGATCCACAAGGCAGTGGAGCATCGTAAGCAGATGCAGTCCCATGGTAGCCGGTGACCAACGATTGGTTCATACGCCATTTGTTCCCGCAGGATACTGGAGCCCATGTGCATGATAGTCGGAGCGTGCTAACAAGTTGAAAACAGCTACTGTATCTGGTAACTGCTGGAAGCTCTTTCAACTTAACTGAGTCACCGGCAGCTCAAAGAAGAAAACTCTATCAAAATGATCTATTTGAGCTACAAATCTTCTCGACTATCTTAAGATAATAGAACTTTTATATCATTTTATTATTGGTTAGTTAAGTCTTACTAAAAATGAAACGTTTGTTCATTACATTCAGCTTTGCCATAGTAATCTACTTTGTATTGATTGATGAATTCAATTAAAAGTTATAGTTTGTAGTAGCTATAATCACTGATTGAATAGAGATGATTATTTACAATTGATTGATCATTGAGTAGTGATCAATACCATATGGATTAAGTGTTGTTTTTTCTTTTTGGTGCAGATCAAATACTATCGACCAAGTTGTAATGTGGTCACTAGTTTAGATGACTTTGACATTGTATGCACAATGTTGAGATAAGATGGTAGTTGGAGGGAGTCAACAGCAGATCCTGGACACGGGTTTAGTGCTATTTGGCAATTGGTATTTAAAGCAATTAGTCCCTTTCGATAAATTTCAATAGTGTAATATAAGAAGATGAAAGATTATCACAACTATGTGATGGTAAACAAAGATGAATAGTGGCTAGCGGTAGAATCCAGAACTCGCATTTCGTTCTAATTGAGACTCATTTTTGCTTATAAAGCTTATGAGATCAGATGGTGGATGGAGGTAGTCGATAGGAGACCCTGGATCTGGGTTTCATGCTAGTTGGTACTTGTCAGCAAGGTGTACGTGTAATCTTGATGGAACTGGTACTCCCTGATGGATTTGATTCCGTGTCACCCAACTTCACAGTCAGAGACGTTACCACTGAGCTATCCAGGCGGCGACCGACCTCCTGTAGGATTGAGATGTAATCAAAATTGTTTGATCGCTGGGTGGTGATCAATGTCATGTGTGTCAAGTCCTTCTAAGTACAGAACGATGATTATGTACAGCTAAGATCATCCGTCATATAAATGATGATCATGTGAGGATTAAATTGTGATTTAACAAATCATTTTGTAAATCATTCAGTTGAGTATTACCAACATATGATGTGTGAGATAAGGGTACATTAGTTCAAGTTGATCTTACTCAAATCATCAAGGTCAATAAGATTCGGGAAAATAGGATGTAAATAGGTTTAAACTAATTCCAGAGAATATTTAGATCATGTTCATTGAAATCAGTGAGTAACTTTATACTCGATGTTATAATATGGTTAAATATAAAGTTTATTATATCACAATTTGATCATTAAGACTAATTTTATATTACTAATTAAGTAGTGTTTTACCACTAGTTAATTGTTCTTCTATAGAAAGTGCGTTTGACAGACACTGTAGTATTAACCGGAGACGTCAATTCGCAGGTTGGTCATCTAGGTATAGAATGAGTCGTTTAGGTGACCGATGACAACTTATTGATCGCAGGTCAGATAACGGTGACCGTCTACTGCAACTCTGTGTAGAATACAACCTCTTTCCGGTTAACACTAACCACTGGCATAATTATCACTGATGTGTTACGTTGTGTCCTCTTTCTGCATCTCAAACCTAGATCACATTGCGATCACCTACCGCTGGCGGGGTTGTGTGCCAGACTACCGCTCCTTTTGGAGTACCTATCTGGACTATGATCATGTCCCTGTTTGAGCTGATCTTACCTTACATTTCAGTGGCCAACCAATTCATCGTCCTAAACGGATCTATGTCAGTAAATTGGTTGCAGCTTCTGTTGCAACTAAATATCAAACCGAGCTAGGTTCAAGGCTAGCTATCATCCCACCGAAAAGTATAGATGAGCACTGGTTGCAATTGCATGATGCCATGAAAACGGCGAGCAAAGTTGCTTACACCTCAATGAGGCGTCCCTCTTATAAGCTTCTTCTGGTTCCTTAAAACTCATTGGAGTACGTCGGTCTTCATCGCGAGACTGTGAGTATGACCATAAACGAAAAATTGTTACATACTGAAATTGTGCGACGCTTGAGTAAGGACCGAGAAGCCTGATGGTCGGAGCGCGCTAACAAGTTGGAAACAGCTGCTGTATCTGGTAACTGCCGGAAGCTCTTTCAACTTAACTGAGTCACCGGCAGCAAAAACTCTGATGTGAGTGAAGTACCCTGTGAAGATAATGGTATGGCAATCACTTACATCCACCGATGTATTGGATGATGGGCAGAGATTTTTCGAGAAGCAGTTCAACTGGTCTGCTGCTCCGGCAACATCGTCCTGCGCTCCATGATTCGTGACGACTGATCCACCTCACGCCGTCGATGACGTTCGGGTAACATCTCTGATGGATGTAAGTAATGGAGATGTAGATCTGTTACCTGAAGAAAAACTTTTCTGCCTCAGGTATGAGGATGATATTGTCTTTCTGTGTGATGATACATAAGCAATGCAATCCGCACTTAATCAGTTGGCAATCAATGTCCGTAGGTATGGCATATGCTTCGCACCTTCCAAGTGAAAATTACTTTTACAAGACTGGCAGGACCATGAACCTGCACTAACCGTGGGTAGTGAGTAGATAGAAGTAATCTAGAAGTTAATGTATTTGGGTAGCTACATAATTGCTGGTGATGGCGTGAGTGATGAGGCCGATTCACGTACAGTGAAAGTCAGAGCGGCTTATGCCAATTTGGGCCATCTTTGGCGCCTTTGTGATGTCAGTCTGGCTGTAAAAGGTCGGATCTACAACGTGTCGGTGAGGGCAGTTTTACTCTATGCTTGTGAAATCTAGTCTCTCCGAGTTCAGGATGTTAGACGACTCTGTGTTTGATCATCGATGTCTCCGAAGGATTGCTGACATCCAGTGGCAACGTCATGTCAGTAATGCAGAGGTTCGGCATCGTGTGTTCGGGCACAGCAATGATAATTCAATTCGTGTTACTGTCTTGAAACATTGACTTCGGTGGCTTAGACATGTTCTACGAGTGTCATCCCAGAGAATTCCACGTCGTGCATTATTTGCTGACGCTGGGACTGGTTGAAAAGAGCGGAGAGGTGGTCAGTGTATGACATGGTGTTGTGGTATGAAAGAAAGCTGTACAGAACTGGCTTATGTTGGTCCTTCACGACTTCCTGGCTGGGGTCCTACAGATCGTACAACACTGACTCCCATACAGTTATTTTTGTTTGCTTTTTTTCTTCTTATTAAATGCACTTTACATTCTCTGTCCTTTTACAACGTCATTGTTATTGTGTGGCGCATCTGTATTTAATACCACCTTGTACCAATATTTGTGCGTTCAGATAAATAAAATAGTGTTTTCGGAGAATGTACTCTTTCAACTGCGTACATGTATTCACATGATTACTTTATTCCATAATAATATATGTTGATAATCTATGGTTTTAATAATGATTTACGCCTCTATTCATCATTTGTATCATTCACTGAACCTTTGGTCCAGCTATAGTATGTACTACTGATATGTTGACAGATATAAGTAGTATGTATCATTGATTGAAAGTGAAATGTTTGGTGGTAGAAAGTTAAGGAGATCAAAGAAAAAAGAACAAGAACAAAGAATGATTGATGTGGAAACGAAGAGGCAATGAAGTTTGAGACTATGGATTGACATTTTGCAAATAAATTGCTTAATGTATGGTTCTTAAATTTAACTTAGAGATTTTGTAATTTTGTATTCAAATACATTTGGTTGTTCCCAGTTGTGTGTTCTTGTTCATCATACGACTTATAAAATGTTAGTGAAATCTTAATTTTCGTCAATCTCAACGTTAATTCATATCTTCTAATGAGATTTAGAATAATGCATATTTTTTTTAAAAACAAAGAAATCTATTTTATTAGGTGAATTCATGACCACCATAGAAAACCTGGAAGCACAGAACGACCGTTTCGTCCAGTTGTGCGCATCCGCGATCCCGCACTCAGAATTCGAACCTGGACCTATTGGTCTCATGTGCGAACACTTAACCTGTAGACCATTGAGCTAGCCGGCATCCAACGGTGTTAATGTCTAACTTCAACCAAGCCACGAAATTGCGCCACCGTACACCATTGTCTAGTGGTTAAGCCCTCGCGTGCGAGACTGATAGGTCCTCGGTTCGAAGCTCGCGGGGGGGGCGGGGATCGTGGATGCGCACTTCTGATGAGTCGCGTATTAGGACGAAACGGCCGTCCAGTTCTGTCAGATTTTCCATGGTGATTTAGCTTCAATTGACTCATGATTTCAACTATTAGAATAAACTAATTGTTTAATATGTTTTATTTTTTAATTTTCAGGTAAAGAAAAAATGGGAAAATCTTGTCTCAAAAACAAAACGTAAAGTACGCGCTGGTCATGTTACACCAGAATTAGATTGGAATGAAACCAATGCAGCTGTTATGCAATTTCTTACACAACATAGTCCACCAGTACGTTTACGTTATTTAACATCAACTACACCATCATTACTTAATCTTGGCAATTTACAACCATCATCATCATCTTCAATGTTATCAACAGCAGCAGCGGCGGCAGCGGCAGCAGTAGCCTCATCTTCATCATCAATGAATTGTACAAATGGATTTAATCATATTAATTCAAATAATTATGGATTATCGAATAGTAATTTCTTAGATTCATATAATAATAATAATAATAATATTAATATTAATTCATCAGTTTTTCCTAATAATCAACAATCATCTTTTATGTTGTCAACATCTAAATCAAATTTCATGAATCCCAACATGAATCAAGACAATAAAAATAGTAATAATAATAATAATAACAATAATAATACTAATAATAGTAATAATAATAATAATACTGGACAACTCTCATTTGGTAATCATGATACAAATAATTTGAATTCATCAACAGAGGAAAATGATGTGGATATGACAAATATAACGAATGTTCAAAATACTACTGTTGAAGGGTATGTTAAACTACTTCTTTTCGTACTCTCTTTGTGTGTGTGTGTGTGTGTGATAGTATCTATGTTTAATTTTATTATTTTTAAATATAATCGATCGGTCAATTGAATAGTACTTAATATGTATACTATCATTTTAGTCTGTATTGTTTAGATTCGACACCTGAACTAATGATAGGGAGTGAAGTCGTTGAACTTGTCGACCGCTTCATTTATCTTGGGAGTCTCATCAGCCCTTGTGGTCTGGTGTGTGACGAAATCTCAGCACGGATACAATAGGCTCGACTAGCTTTTGCCAACTTGCGTCATTTATGGTGTAGGCGAGACATCCGTCTACCAACCAAAGGATGAGTTTACTGTGTAGCAGTTCGTTTTGTCCTACTTTAAGGCTGTGAAACATGGCCGGTAAGAGTAGAGGATATTCGTAGGTTACTAGTATTTGATCATAGATGTCTTCGAAGCATTGTTTGTATATCCTGGGACCACCGAGTAAGTAACTCAGTTGTTAGAAAACGGGTACTAGGTAAGGATGGCAAATCAATTGGTGAAATAGTGAAACTTCATCAGTTGAGATGGCTGTGACATGTGTTACGTATTCCCAACCACCGAATGCCCCGACAAGCGAAGTTTTATGGTGTAGGAGTAGGTTGGAAGTAAGATAGGGGCGGCCGGACCGAAACGTAGCACAAATCCATGAAGTCACTGACAAGTGGACTGAATCATGTTGGTAGGTGTAGACTATCTGGTTGGGGTCCGCGAGACGATAGCAACAGATGGTTAGAGACCCTGAACGACATGACTCAAAATCATTTGCAATGGCGCAGATGCACCCACTCTTTGTGTTCTCCGAAATTCTAATCTTCTGAATTCTTCATGTCCTTTTTTTTTCTCTTTCCAAATTTATTTCATTGTATTATACTCCTTGAATAACATCTTCAAACTCTAATCTTTCTGATCACTGCTTATACTTGAATCGACAACAGCATCTCTGTGCTAATGTGGTATGGCAACTCGAACTGATGTACGTATGTACGAAGTTACCGTATGTCATATGGGAAAACAGTAACATAATGAGTAAATCAATCTAACTCTGTCCTGGAAAATCCTTTCCAGTTCTTTCTAGTTGCTATTCATTCTTTTCATGTCTGCTTTCAATTAACGACACAGTGTGTTCTATAGCCTCTCAGTTTTCTGTTTCCCTTCAGGATTCCAAGTTAGGACTTGCCCGCAATATTATTTAATTTTGTCGGCATAGATTAATTGAATTAATATAGGCCCCCAAATCCCTGGTACGGCCAAGAGTGGGGAGAGTCCGCTCTCCCTCTCGAAATGCTCTCACATGGCAACGCGTATATAGCCTCTACCAGGGAAGTCCTACTCACTGCCCTCTCGCACCACGGGTGTTGTTTACGAAAATGAGAGGACGAAAAGCGAATGTCCGGCGACTTTGCCGGATCCCAAACCAATGGTGCACATGGGTTGGCTCCAGTATCCTGAAGGAACAAATAGCGTATGAACCAATCGTTAGTCACCGGCCACCATGGGACTGCATTTCCTTACGATGCTCCATTGCCTTGTGGACCAGATCTTCAGGCCGAAGGCTCAGAGTGTGGCCCTCTAAGAAAACGACCTGCTTCGATTTGGGCACCCGGGCAGTATTCAGCCCTCACACATATCAATTGAGATCTATGTGGCGCATATATATTTGGTGCCTCCTTGTACCAATATCTATGTGTTAAAATAAATAAATAATAGATAAAGAATTAATATAGAGAATAGTATGACAGTGTATTGATTTCAATTTTATCTAAGTTATAAATGTAATACAACTCATTCAAAATGATGAAAAGAAAACATTCACAAAATGTATCAGATTACTTTTATTAATGTGATAGGTCAGACGATAAATTATGGATGAACCAATCAGATTATAAGATAACAGGTCTTGGATTTTGGCGCGAAATTCACTCATCCATTTGTCTAAATATAGTCTTGGCATTATAACTAATGTTAGTTCATGATGAAAACCTTAAATGTAATTTTTAACCCTAACTATCAGCTGTAAATCATAATTCTAACTGATTTATAACCCTCATTTAGTCCTAATCAGTAGATCAGTCAGTCAGTCAGTCAGTAACAACATGGAATTTCGTACATACGTACATCAGTTCGAGTTGCCATACCACATTAGCACAGAGATTCAGTTATCGATTTAAATCCCGTAGTGGCAGAGTAGTGAAAGTATAAGTAGTGACAGGGAACATTAGGGTTTGATGATGTTATTTAAGGAGTATAGTCCAGTGGAATAGATTTGGAAAGAAAATAAAGGACATGAAGAATTCAGAAGATTAGAGTTTGAAAGAACACAAAGAGTGGATGCACCTGCGCCATCGCAGATGATTTTGAGCCATGTCATTCAAGGTCTCTAACCATCGGTTGCTATCATCTCGCGGTCCCCAACCAAGTAGTCTACACCTACCAACATGGCTCACTCAGTCCACTTGTCAGTGACTTCATGGAGTACGGTATTTATAACAACCATTTATTAACATTATCTTTTAAGTCATTAAACTGTATTTCTGTTACTTACTTATACATTGTGCTATTATTGTATAGGATTTTGTTCGGTTTCATGATTCTTTTTTTTTTCTAACCAGGATCTCAAACAATTACTCCTAAGGTAGTTATGTAGCAAGCGGTTATATAGTGTTGGATTAGGCAACTGTTACAACTGTCAAAATACTCATCAGTCATAATTGTGTTCAATGTTTTCAACTCTAATACATAAATGCTGATGATGAATATTTTTTAGCTCACCATGATGATCTTCACAACATTTAATCTAGTAGTTAGTCAGGATCACTAGTTGTTGTACAAATAGGGTGATTTGAATTGAATCATGTAAAGTTGTACAAAATAGCCATTGTTTAATTCTTGTTGATTGTTAATCAGATTATCAAATTAGTCAGTCATAAACAAAGTAAAACTTAGTGTACATATGCGTCAAGCCAAATTTTCACATCTTAATCAACACGATAAAGTGGAAATGATAAGATGAATGTATAAGTGGTTAAAGGCAATCGGGAGGGAACCATGTATCTTGATTTCATGCTAGTTGGAACTTATAAGCTAGGAATACTTTCAATCTTTTGGTAACTAATGTTCACTATGCGGTTCGAACCCGGATTATCTAGCTTCATAGATTGAGATCTCACTACTGAGCTGTTCGATCAACGGATTCCTGCCGAATGCCTCCAAACGCTATCGAGTCACTTAAAATAGTTGCCCCTTTTCAACTTGATCGACAGAATTCGATCAGTACTAAACAGAGCTCGACGTATATGACATTGATCACTACTCAATAATCAACTATTTGTAATATGAATAGTAAGAAGAATGAAATGATAGTAATATCAGAATTAAACATACAAATCAAGTGGGAGTCTCGTTCTGTGAGTTGGACGGTTTGGTCGTAGACCTTTCATTGTTTTTCTAAACAACCTTATCAGCTCAAATTTCAGATAGAAGTGAAGTGTTCGAATTTCTCCACGTATGACTCACAGTTTTTGATGATGATATTGTTCAGAAGAACAATCAAAGTTCCACTTCCTAACTATCCAGCTCAGAGAACGAAACTCCACCTAAGATATAAATCTTCTCCATCATTTTGATACAAATCAAGGTTTGAAACACAAATCAGAAAATCAAATGAGTGAAATGATTTTGAAGATGAAGAATGACGAATGCATATGTTTGTCCGCGATTGGTTGTAAACCATGACACATTTATTTATTTATTTGTTTAAATACATAAACGTAGGTACAAGGAGGCATCATATAGATATACGCCACATAAATCATTCAATTTGTGTGAGGGCTGTGATACTGCTTGGGTGCCCAAACCGAATCAAGTGGTCTTCTCAAGGCCCACACCCAGAGCATTTGACCTGAAGGTCTGACCCACAAGGCAGTGAAGCAACATCAGGAGATGCAGTCCCATGGTAGCCAGTGACCAACAATTGGTTCATACGTCATTTGTTGCTTCAGGATACTGGAACCCATGTGCACCATTGGTTTGGGATCCCTAGGAGGATCTTTTATATCCACCAAGCTGGTTAAATCACTGGACATTCTCTTTTTGTCCTCTGAATTTCGTAAACAACACCCGTGGTGTGAGAAGGCAGTGAGTAGGTTTTCCCTTGCAGAGGCTGTATACGCGTGACCATGTGAGAGCATTTTGAGAGAGTGAGAGCTGACTCTCCCTACTCTCTGCCGTACCACCATTGGACCATCGAGTAACTAATGCAGCTGTTAGGAAACGGGTACGAAGTAAGGATAGCAAATCAATTGATGAAGTATAGAAACTTCATCAATTGAGATAGCTGGGACACGTATTACGTATGCCCAACTACCAACTGCCCCGACGTGCGATATTTTATGATGTAGGAGTAGGTTGGAAGTAAGGTAGGGGCGGCCGGACCGACACGTAGCACAAATCCATGAAGTCACTGACAAGTGGACTGAATCATGTTGATAGGTGTAGACTACCTGATTGGGCTCCGCGAGACGATAGCAACAGATGATTAGAGACCTTGAATGACATGGCTCAAAATCGTTTGCAATGGCGCAGGTGCATCCACTCTTTGTGTTCTCTCAAACTCTAATCTTCTGAATTCTTCATGTCCTTTATTTTCTTTCCAAATCTATTCCACTGGACTATACTCCTTAAATAACATCATCAAACCCTAATTTTCTCTATCACTACCTCTTCCACTATGGGATTTGAATCGATAACTGAATCTCTGTGCTAATGTGGTATGGCAACTCGAACTGATGTACGTACGTATGAAGTTCCACGTTGTTACTGACTGACTATTGATCACGATTATCCCAAATACCTCAACCAGATTAGTTTACATCTATTAATAACATAACACAGTATATTACTTAACTCATTTCAGATTGAATTATCTTCCCATTTCTCTTGTTTTAATTTATTTCCTTTTCCCTTTTTTTTTCATGTCACATACGCCCACACACACACACACACACACATATGTATAGTGCTTCAGATGTTGGTAATATTACTGGATCCGTACATGAATCATTTCTTTCATCATTTTCACCATTTAATCAATCATTTATTAATTTTGGTTTACCATCTACAACAGAATCATTTTATACAACATTTAGTCGTGATATACAAAAAGAATTATATATACAATTAAAACAAGAACATGAATTACGTATGGATATATTACGTTTACAAAAGCAAACATGGTTATTACAAATGAATTTATTTAAAAAAATGAAAATTGAACAAATTTCTAGTTTATTTTCATCACCTAGTTTAATGATGAATACAAGTAGTGTTAATTCACTAACTAATATACCTATTACTGCTACTTTAACATCGATATCATCTGTTGCTACTACTACTACTGCTACTACTACTACTATGGATCCTGTTAGTAGTATAAATAGTATTTGTACAACTTCAATCTTATTGAATAAAACCAATGAAAGAAGTATACCTACAAAATTGAAAAAGAATAAAGATAAAGAAAAAGATGAAGAACATGAACATGAACATGAACAAGAAGAAATAGAATCACAATGTATTATATCTAATAATAGTTCTTTATCACCAATGTTTCCACAAGATGGTACAAATGGTATTGTTAATCATAATCATAATCATGATCATCATCATCATCGTCATCATCAACAAGAGAATCTACTGAATGATCATTGTAGATTAAATAATAAAATAACAGAAAAACAAGAAAATTAATAGAATTTGTTTTGTATATTGTTAATTCAATGAATTATTGAATTACATTTTATTTAATAGTAATAATAATACTAATAATAATTGTTTTAACTAGATGGTGTTTTTGACAATTTATTAAACGGTCTTGTGCGTGAGACTGATAGGTTTTGGGTTCGAAACTCGCGAGGTGGGGGGCGGGATCGTGGATGTGCGCTGTTGAGGAGTTCCACAATAGGACGAAACAGCTATTCAGTGCTTCTAGGTTTGCCATAATAGTCTACCTTCAATTGACTCATGATCTCAACCATTGATATTTCATTTTTGTTGTTAAGGATTTAGCTATTTGATTGCGTAATCATTTGTTAGATAGAACCCAAACCAATAGGTTAACTTGGAGAAATTGGAGTTTTGGGTGAGACTATTATATATGGATGACCTTTGAGCGACACCAGACTGACCTTGAGAGTAACCATTTAATAACTAAAATCAAATGAGAGGGTTATAAACCTGTGTATGAGGAATTAGGCTTATGATTTATAATTGATGATTAGGGTTAAAAAATAGATTACAGGTTTTCATCACGAATTGACATTAGCTATAATGTCAAGAAGTTATTTAGCCAAATAGATGAGTGAACTTCGTGTCAGGATTCAAAACCTGTTATCTTTTATTTGATTGGTTCATTCATAGTATGACGAAGCATTCACTGTTCAAACAAAATTGATATGATAAGTAAGAACTAGGCTTAATAATAAGATGTTAATTCAATCAAGAGTGAGTGACCTAGGAACTAAGCACCCCCTATTATTGTTTTAGAACTCTATCATACTTAATATTCTGGTCGGAGTTTCCAAATAAGCATACTATTTCGTTAGACTTAAAATTTATCTAGTTTATGAACCTGATCATGTCTGATCTCAATTTATTCAAGGGGTTGTATCAGCAATATGCATACGTGAGTAGTTATTACTGAACCGGATTGTATGATAGTGTTTCATCTATCAATCAGTATTCTGTTAACTCGTTCCAATGAAATAAATGCCGTCGTGTGATTCATTAAAAAAAATATCTGATAACACTAAGTCACTGTGGTGTTTGAATGAACTAATGACTCCTTTGTACTTGTTGAATGCTTGATTTCAAATTCCAAATACAGTACATTCGTTCGTACTTATCTAGTACTTCTTGATCCAATTGCGTTATTTTGGAATTCATAGTCCATACTATAATTCAAATACTCCTAATTATCACGGTCACACATAAAATTTACATAGGATTGATGACACGATTATTATTATTATTGTTATCTCGTGTTATCTGTTACTTATCCCGTTAATTTTCTGTTTTCTTATGCATATACAATGTATATACAAACTCACAAGCACAAACTATTTATCCATGACTTGTTTTTCTATGGCAAGGCGATGGTATGTTTGTGACTGCTTAAGTTGGTTGGTTAAGAGTTGGACAGATCTATTATTAATCAAGTGTTTATATACTTCCTTATTTTTTAAATAGGCATCACATCTTCTATCATCCCATTTTGAATATCTTACTAAATGTAAGGAATAAAATGTATAATGTGCCAAGTGTTTCAGGCTTAAAATCTAAATATAGCTTGCTATATTACCACTCTGACTTGGTATATTTTCGTCTCAATATATCGAATTCTCAATGAAATGGTGTTTGGAGGTAGATTTCAACAGAAGTAAACTTCAGTGTATTATGGATTAAAAGGTAGGGCCGTGCGTACGTTTTGAACAGGGACAGAAACAATTTCGAAGTGATTACGCCAAGTTGTCTTAGCGCAAACTGAAGAGTTGTTATGCCTTAGCTGCATCCTCCATGTAGCTTTAGCTGATGTCTAAGCTCGTCATAGTTACAAGCGTGAAATCACGCTCTGTAGAGACATGGAGGACGTAAGTTCTTTGTACAAAATGAGGCAGAATTTCCATAACAGACATTTCGACAGGTTACGCTTCAAGCCATTGTCTACTGCTTATATCTCTATTATTGTAAGGTCTTTATAATAGACTGGTGCCACCGAGTTAATTTTGCTTAAGAAGTTATTAATAAACATCAAGAACAGGAGCGGACCTAAGATTGTTCCTTATGAAACTCTTTGTGCTGAGACCAGGCAGCTCACGTGCACTCAGTTTATCTTTGTACGAAACATCCTGTCCTATGGATAGTTTCGGAGCCAAGATAAGGGTGGGTCAGTGAGGCCCAACTTTTGGAACCTTATTTATGAAGAATACGTGTGGCAATATGTAGCGTTTTAACGAAGCCAATTAATACTGAGTAGACTGGTACATTTTGTTCTCATCAGGTCCTCCAGATATCCCATACCATGAGAAGATCAAACAGACAGGACTTTTCTTTCTCAAAGCAATGTTAAACATTTTGAGGACGTTGTTTTTACCCGTCTGTTCCCCATTTTGTTCACTGACAAGTCCTTCCATAACTTTCGACAGTATTGGCAGTAGTGAAACTGGTCTGTAGTTGGCTGTCTCTGTTACGGGAGAGCTGAAGACATATGGCTGAATAAAACCATTTTATTGTATATTAACAATTTTACTGTGTTTTTTGGGTGTATTTGTTTTATTCAACTTCTGAACTTGTTTGTTTATATCATTATTTTTGGACATTTTGGTTTCTCTTTATCTTTGGTTTGGTATTTGGGAGTTTTTGCTCCGGAAACCTACAAAATTGAAGAAAGACATTTGGGTCGACTATTTGTAAATTGCGAATAAACTTCGGAACATAAATATGAGTTTGGTTCTGTTGTTAATTTGGGCTCGTAAATTGCAAATAGATCGACATACCGTACTTCAATAACGAGAAGGAGCAAAAACTCGAACGCAACATTCTCGCTCCTTGAAGATTATAAAGTAGTCTTATTCTAATCTCCTGGAAGTTGGTGTGACTTCAGTGAGTGTCTGAAAAGGCTGTAGTGGCATTGGGCCTTAACCACACAATCCTCAATTTTGAACACGAGACACTTGGGAAAATAGATGTTCGACATTTAACGAGGAGAAAAACCTAACGATGAGGAAGGCGGGAACAATGAATTGGATGAATTGGAATTGATCGGATGGCAGTACTCGGTTTTTCGGGAGTGGTCCCTGTTGAATGTTACCTTATATCTTTTATTCACAGAATATATATCATTCTATCTGCAGCCTGAATGTGTTTTCCATCATATATTGTCAATTGTTACGACACAATGAGTCAGTGTAGACAATGATGTGGCTTCCACGTAAGATCTTATAGATTAGGCAGTTACATCGTGGCAAATGTACAATTTTAGGATTACGTCTATTATTAGAGCAGTAGTAATATCGAAGTAGACCATAGTCCAACAAGGCTACAAAGAGGTTGACCATTGGCTTCCTCATACTGTTTTAGGATTGTGTTTTTCCTTTTACGGACACAGTAGATATTTCAGTATTACCAAGACTTTCAACTGGAGATAGAGCTGAAGACTATTCCGCGCTCACAGTTTCCTGGTTTAACTGGTCGATCGAGTTGGCATAAAGCAGCTCTTCCATCGTAAATTTAATAAGATCTTCTTCTTTTGGTCCTTTAAAAGCATAGATAATCTTGTTTGTAAATTTTCTTATTGTCAAGAATCCGCAGATATATTTAGGGTTAAATTGTATTTTGGATGCTAGCTTGATCAGAAAATATCTATTGCTCCGAACTTTGACGTTGGTTCGGCCAGAGTCTTTTTGGAAGGCTTTCCATCTGTCCCAGGCCTTTCATTTAGCCTGTATCAAGTATTCCATGCATTGTTGAACCAAGGATCGTTTTCCGAAGTGCATTGTGTGGGATAGAATCCTGAATGGTATATATACCTAACTAATTTCCTGTGGTCAACCACTATTAGCCTCTGTGGTGGTCGGTGTTCAATATATTCCTTGAACTCCGTATACAGTTCGTCTCAGTAACCGTCACTAAATATTGCTCCAACGGTATATTAATCAGAAGGCGAATACCGATGCGTTAAGCAAGCATGAAATAGTTGTGCCGAAAAGCAAACAGGCAAGCGAGAGGGCGAGAGAGAGCAAGGGCAAGAACGAGAGATCGAGGGAGTGAGTGAACGAGCGAGTGAGTAATGAATATGAAACCATGGACATATATATACATAGTGAAATGAATAAATCATCGAGTCAATTAAGCGGTTAATAGTAAAGCTAGTAGTCTGAATAAATGCGTAGGCAGTAAGGCTTGCCAAGCATACATGTTCATACAATCATAACAATAATAAAGGTACAATAATTTATTATAGTGCAGGTGACTTTGTCCGTTTAATAAGTTAGTAAAAGGGCTTAACCGAATTATATGAGAGCAAACTCAATTGAACGTGAGTTGCTATACCTCCACCAATATAGTGACTGTGAGGCGTGTTGAGAATGCTCTCTCCTCGTCATGTACTATGCTCCAGAGTAGCTAAAATATAAAATTCTCCCGTTCTACCGAAGTAAATGGTTTGTCAACACGTACAACATGAATGTACAATGACCAGTACATGAACACAAACTTCAGATAGGAGCTTGTGTTGATGATGTTCAGAAGAACGATGAAAGCTCCACAAGCAAATCGTCCAGCTCAGAGAACAAAACTATCGAAATCATCTACATGAACTACAAATCTCGACCGTATCAATGCTTATTCTTGAGTCGCGGACATGGATATCCTCAACTAGAAGCTGATCAGCAAAAAGACCAAGCTTTAAGGTTTAGGTCTTATTTTGGATCTTGACTCTAAAAAAGACACAAGAAGTCATGAACGACAAAGGTGCAATATATCGTACAATTATTTATCAAACATGAGATTTGAAAATCGAAAATAAAGCGGCGTTGATAATGAAATTAGAGTCAAAATTGAAAAACGAGAAGTCAACTTAAATCTGAGTTGAACATCATCACATGGTTGCATGTAACTCGGAAAGCTTATTTTTTCATGAAGCATCTCGTCGACACACTATAGACCGAGTTTCTCAGTCGTTAGATCCTAAAGGATAGTCTAAAGAACTACGACATTGATGACGCAGAACTCCTGGCAAAACGGTATTTTTGAATATTTCAACTTCCACATAAAACTCACATCGAGAGGGAATCCACGTGAAACTCAAAAGGAAGTTCAGAAGTACACCTAAGCACTGGATTGGCATACCAGTCTGCAGCATTTAGACAAGGACACTTCTCCTGGTCTGCTATACTGTGGGTAGCGGCTGCAATCTCGGGAAAACCCCTTAACGCAATGTTCTTACAGTCAACAAACTGTGACGCGTTCTCAGATAATCGAGGGCGCACATTAATCCGAATTCCAAAGGAGGTTGATGCAGAGAGCTATCGAATTCCCAACCTGTAGCACTTCTTTCAATACTCTCATAGGTTATGAAATCTCCTATACAAAACGATGTGCTTAAGGCTATTAGCACCTTAAACATGTGAAAGTCAACAGGACCAGATGAACTGCACCCCGAAATCTTGAGACATATTGCACAATATATCGCGGCCCCACTGACTGTGATATTCAATATGTCACTTGATCAAGGTGTGTTACCTATGGACTGGAAGGATGCAATCGTCACTCTCATACATAAGTCAGGACCAAGACAAGTTCCATCGAACTACAGACCTGTAAGCCTCACCAGTGTTGCAGTTAAAATATTGGAAAGAATGGCCAAACGGACCATAGTGGCATTTATGGAAGCCAATAACTTGTTAAACATAGAACAACATGGTTTTAGAAAGGGTCTATCTTGTACAACGAACTTCCTTTTAGCAAGGTAATTTTGGATAAAGGCGCAAGACAACGGAAACTCAGTGGATGTTGTCTACATAGACTTCAGTAAGGCTTTTGACAAGGTGCCAACAAACAGACTGCTATTGAAGTTGGAAAACCTTGGTATTGCTGGACCTCTCTTAAAATGGATTAAGGATTTCCTAGTAGGTTGTAGACAGAAGGTAAGAATAAATTTCAAGTGCTCAACCTGGAGACCAGTACTTAGTGGAGTACCTCAAGGTTCCTTCCTAGGTCCTTTATTTTTTATAATGTATGTTAATGATCTTCCAAGTATAGTACAGTCGTAGAATTGCGGTCTACTATGATATTAGCGCTGCTCTAATAATAAACGTAATCCTAAAATTGTAGATTTGTTATGATGTAACTGCCTAATCTATAAGATCTTACGTGGAAATCACATCATCATCTACACCAACTCACTGCGTCGTAACAATTACCAATACATGATATAGAACAATCTTAGACTAGAGATGAAACAATATATTTAATATGAATAAAAGACATAACGTAACATTTAGCAGGGATCACGCCTGCGTGTCCGAGCGATGCCATACGACCAACTCCGATTAATTCAATTCCTTATTCCCGCTTTCTCCATTGTTGGGTATTTCCTAGCGTTAAATGTTGAATGTCTATTTTCCATGTTGTCTCGTGTTATGACTCAATGCCACTACACAGTCTCCAATGTTATTATACGCTGACGATGTAAAGATTTGGTGAGTAATAACTGGAAACACACTCATGTGCTCTTGAAACAGACTTAAACAATATAATTAACTGGTCTTAAGAGTGGCTGATGCCTATCTAGGCGGCAAAGTGTATCTACATGCAATTTAGGGACTCAAATTTTAATAGGTATAACATAGGGGAAGTGCAATTACCAGTGGTTTGGTCTCATAAGGATCTGGGGGTGATAGTGAGTCAGGATCTTAAGACGACGGCACATTGCCGGTAGGTCGCAGCTCAAGGATTTCGAACCCTCTGAGCATTAAAACGGACATTCACTAAGCTAGATACTACCATGTTCACCAAAGTATACACATCCTTAGTGAGAAGTAAGCTTGAGGACTGCGTTCAGGCTTCATGCCCGTGTTTAAAAGGTGACTCGGATGTCCTGGAAGAAATACAGAAGGAAACTACCCGTGAAATTCCAGAACTCCGGGGTTTACAATCAAAGAGTGGCTTGAAAAGCTAGATCTCTTCACCCTGTCCTATCACAGATTAAGGGGAGATCTAATTTTGATGTACAGAATACTGAGAAATGACTTTGGACTTAAATTATTCTCTCTTTTCCTTCCCACTAGATCGGGACATCTCAGAGGACATAGCAGGGGGGTAGAAAAGCCAAGAAAGAACAAAGTACCCGTGTCATACAGGTTTTCACACCCAGTCATCAATACTTGGAACCTGCAGTTCGAAGCAGTGGTGTTCGCACCTTCGAATGACTCTTTCAAGAGAAGACTGGATACTCACAGAAGTATACTAGAAAAGGAATGACATATGCCTTAGGCCTTCTGTCCTTACAATACGAATCTGATTCCATTCAAAACTGATACAGATGTTTGCGCACAGTTTCAAAGCTCGCGTCTCAGTCCGCGCACATGTTCGTGCACATTAGCAATCTGTGTGTTTTCGTAGTAAGTTTGTGTGGCTTGTATTTATTGAATAGTCCCCCAGATAAAATTCCTATTCCTTCTCTTACGAAAGGTTTAGATTTTTGACCGACATGAATCAACTTTATGGTTAGAGTTATGCCAAGTTGAGAAATTTCTCATCTTAAGATACCCAATCAGCCAATAAAGGGGAAATGAAGGCGAACAAAGGGGAAACGCGCCAAAATGTCTGCTTTTTTGCCTTTCCGGGGGAAATAATGCATATTCTCCCTTTTATGTCTCTGTGTTTCGACCGACGCTAAATTGTCTACTTTGCACATAAATACACGCCAAAAATGTAAATACAGAAAGCAGTATATTCAAACACGGCACGTTACATATGTCTGTTTACGATATTCTTCCAAATACACGATGTAGGGGGGAACAATCGATATTTCCCGTAAATAACCGACGTGAAGGTGAAAAAATCGATATTTCCCCTTTATTTACGCTTTCGACCGCTTTGTTTCCCTTTTTTGGCTGCTTAGGTTTAAGAGTCTTGATATCCTATAATCTAAAGTCTTACGCCAAGTGTGGCAGAAATGATGTTCCAGAAAACTTTGCACTAGTAACGTTGAAGTGCACTTTTGATCAGTTTTACAGTAAAACTTTTCATCTAGACCTTAACAATTTTATTCGCCCTCGTTTGGAGTATAAAAATATTGTGTTTCTCCCCTCACTTCGAAAGTATAAGAATGTATTGGAATGTGTCTGAAAGCGAGCCATGAAGTCAGTTCCACCTTATAAAGAATGCCTTAAATCTCTACCCATTATATTACATGCGTTTCAGAGGTGACTTAATGACTTATAGCATCCTAAGCACTCCTGGCCACCCCCTTAAGTACCTAAGTTCAGTCCAACACAAATCGTACGGGTAGCACCCAAAAATTAGAGACACCTTAGCAGAATTGACTGTAGGCACACCTTTTACTCTATGGAAGTAGTCGAATTCTGCAATTCTCTGCCGGCTGAGGTGGACCAAGCAGCTTTCCAGAAATTCTTCATCAGGAAACCTAATTTATTCTTGAGGACTCAAAACAGTATTCTACTTTAATGTACTGATAATTCTCTTCCTCCCGTTAAATATACCTGGGTTTCTTCTTTGAGGTATCACTGACCCACTGCTTATATATGCGGTAGCTCGTTATGCGCATCGCTTGCTTTGTGTACGTCCATTTAAGTTATTTAAGTTACTATCTGTTTATTGAATTTCTTCAAGCCTTAGTTGTCATGTGATCTATATCCTATTTATTACAGATTACTATCTTTTGGGCTTATTGTTTCCCATTTTTAAGTATTTCTGTACTTCTGGTGGTATTATTGTTTATATTCATGTTGCTTTGCTTCTTGATGCTCTGACACTTTTATTTTAGATGTCATGACATAAAATTTAATTTATGATAAATTATTATTTGTGTTTTATCGTTATATCACTTTTCAAAGTAATTCCATTGTGCTCTAATACTGTATAAGTTAGATACTGTGTGTCCTTGCCTTGCTACTTTATCTTCTGTTTGATAGGAATGTGTTTTTTCCCGTAGTGTAACATTACTGATAAATGGAATGTTATCTGTTAAGTCAATGATAGCAGAATATAAGTTTTTATGTTTCACTTATTTGTCAAGGAATTTCAAACTGAATCACTAGGCTTATTTCTTGCCAGTCACATTAATTTCTCAATATGCTGTCTTATAATGGATTTATATTTGTTTTATATACTAACGACAATATTTTTCATTACTTTAGCCTTCTGGGAAATAATTCTGTGACGTAAACCTATGTTTTACATTGAAATTAATGCCCTCTAAATTGTGTCACTTATTTACAAACTTTTATCCTACTGTCATGAATAATAAAATAATTAGTGTGAAAGATGGTAAGTTGTGGTGATATGTTCTTTTTAGTGCTTTATAAATGTTGCTTCATTATTGAACGGGAGCTGTCTATTTCTTGATAGTAGTCGTAGTAGTTGTATTGGTCAAGGAATCAAACTCGTGGAGGTCTTGTGTGGCATTATAAGCGCATCGATGATTACTACTTCCTGATTGGCTACACTGACGGGATACTTATTTAGTTACCTAATAAGGTGACTAGACTAATAGTGATTTTGTCATTGTAGGCGATTGGCCATAAAACTCAGTCGATAGGTACTCAGGGGCTGTGAATACTTCATGTGTTAACTTCGTTTGTTCAACATCTTACTAATAGCATCGGTTAGACATGCTATTTATTAGAGTTAACACTTTCTCACCCCCTGTGAGCGGGTAACATATACGGAAATGATATTTGTCTGATAGAATAACATCTTACTGACACTACAATTCGAAACAGTCACCAGGATACTTCATTCTCGAACCTTAAGTTGTTACTTGTAGTATTTACCACTCCTCAACCGACTGACATATGGTGGGGTTTAAATGAATAAGTGTTCTAGCCAATACAGTTTAATTGGGAAACCACGATAAGTAAACCTCATCGCTACGACAAGGTAGCTGCTACAGTCGAATACTTCATTTATTGAGCTTAGCTCCACCTACTTAAGCGTAGAATGTGTTTTAGTGTTTTGAAATATGGACTGTTTATATTAGTCGTTATTTACAGCGTGTGTTGTACATGAAAATGTAGAGGAAAAGATTGTCAAAGTTTAGAAAATAATACTATGTGTAACTTAATTTTGGCAATTGAAGTGAGTTTAGTTAATCATACGCTACATCGAACTTGGGACATGTATATATCTATTCACTTTGCTATACCATATATTACGGCAAAATGCTAGAGTGGTAGAAGTATTGTAAAAGTATCAGTGGTAATACAAAACAATATTAGGGGCAGATAATATGAGTCGGGAAGGAAGTTGCATTCATGAAATAAAAAGCTTAAGATAATTTTGAAATTCAGGACCTAAGAGAGAACAAAGAGTAGATGTGAATGCTCCATTGTGATCAACTCTGAGTCATGTCATCCGTCGTCTCCAATCACTGTTTATGATGCTCACGCGGATCGCGATCAGATGGTCTATACCTACCAACATAACGTATTTCACTTGTCAATGACCTCATCAACTGATGCCATGTCTTCGGGTTGGTCATCCCCAGCTTTCTTTCAACCTATTTCTACACCATCAAATATCGGTCGTTGAGATAGGCGGTGACTGGATCGTAGATAAAGAGAGTGGAATGGATTCTCGCCACTAAAGTCTCTGATGTAATGCAGAAAGACTGACAAGATTAGTATACTTTTGGAAATAACATATCTGGTTTAAACTTCAGTAAGTTCAAGTAGATCTGTAAAAGTTACAGAAAGATGTCATTTGAAAAGATCACAGAGTATTCTGAATTGATGGTCATTCATAATCCTACTCAAGACATTTGGATGTTGTTGTCAGCCTACTACTTTTCAACCATAGTGTTGGGACTCAGTGGTTAACATATCACTTGACTTCCATCAATTTACTATATTGTACGACCCTTTGAGCATTTAGTTCATTATAGGATTCAGTTTTGAACTTCCCTCCGACAGCCGAATATTATCACTAATCATAGAGAGTTCCAAATACATGGACTTATACTTGTTACATTATTTTTCAACTCTTATTCACATGACATAACCTAAACGTATCGTTCTAATTATCTTTAAATAAGAGTTGAAATATATTCAATTAGTGTTTCATGTAAAACGCTACTGAACTATAATGCTTCGCTTAATTTTTTGTAATTTTATTAGCAAGTTTAAATCTTAATGCAATCGTTCAGTTAATCAGTCAAAATGATGGTGTAATAGCACTTCCAACAGATACTATCTATGGATTAGCTTGTTCCGTTTTTAATACTGAAGCAATTGAACGAATACGTCGTATTAAAGGTCGTTCAGAGACTAAACCTATGGCTATATGTTTAGATCAGGTTGGTTGAAATCATTCTATTCTTTGTGTATGTTTATGTGTTATCACTATCAGCTTAGACCAATGTTCGTGATTTCATTTACTTAGTGATATGTGTTCTTTGGCTTCCCATAACGTTCTTCTAATTTTATTCTATACAAGTAAGCATAGCAATCGATTTACTCAACACTTAATAACAGTGGTCTTGAGTGCTGTTAGAGGTATGAGGGCGGTTATCACTTCCCGGTTGCCCACACCGTGGAAGGGTTCTCCTGGAGGTACCTGAAAAGGAAATTGGGTTAGAGGGTGGTCTTAGTGACCCGAGAGTGTGACCGCAGTGCCCAAGGGACAGCCGCTTGAGGTCGGTCACACACGACCTTTTATGAGTAGTTTTTGTGTTAGCTCCGTACTTGTTGAGACCTTACCGCCGGAGACGGATATCCGTGGGATAAGGCGAGGTGTGCTTTAGAAATATTGCTGGTTTCACCGGGTAAGTAATAGTGAGGTTAGGCGTATGGTATTAGGAGATGATGGTAAATCAGTTGATGAGGCTATAAATCTTCATCGACTGAGATGGTTGGGCCACGTGTTGCGTATGCCTGAACATCGATTACCACGACGCGCAATGCTCACTGGTGTTAAAATCGCTTCATATCTTTCTTTCTACGAAGTAATTCTTTCTTCCTGTATTATATCCTTATACACAATCTTTCTTTTATATACTACTACCTGTGATGTGACTACTTCTATGATTTTGGTGTTCATCTTGTTGTGCTAATGAGGAATGGCAACTTGGACCGATGCATATACGTGCCTGGTCCTACGTTGCAGCTGACTGACTGATTGACACTTAATAGCAATTGAATAACAGTAACATGAGTCGCTCTTCAATTTCGCTATATGTAAGTAATATTTCAAAGATATTTATAATCAAATACTCTCCGTCTACTTGTGACTTCTTACATAGACTATATTTTATAGGGTATTAAATAGCAGGCATTTCACTTGTGTCCCAAGTTACACGTTTTGTCAAAAACTGAGTACCATTTTTGGTATTGTAATGCACCTATCCGATGTTCATCTTGTTGTGCTAACGAGGTATGGCAACTTGAACTGATGCACATATGTGCCTTGTCCTACGTTGTAGCTGATTGACTGACTATCACTACGCTCCTCAAGATAATGACTCGTAAACTATTGAATCACCGTTCTGTACGGTTCCATCAGTAACCGTTTCATGAACATGATGTTTTCGTAATTCAAATCTAGTTAGTATAATCTTTTACGTAGTTAAAATACCAGTCTACTCAATTTTATATTGAACAACAGATATCCAAAAACGTTTTACGATGAACTACTAAGTTATATCGTGGAGCGAGGGTTCAGTAGTTATGACATTGTATTTTCAACAATCAAGTGTGAAGTTCTAATACTTTGCTTTAGGCAACTGAATAAAATGTAGTTGTCTCATACCCTTAAAGTATGACTTGAATCCAAGTATGCGAATTTGTATGTTGGAAACAAACTATCAAATCTTGAATTCATCACATGACTTATTGAAATATATGTCACATGCGTTCACTTCTGCACTCACTGTTTCATTTATTCTTATTGTAATGAACGAAGACTTGGGTAGGGTGAACCGATACACTACGTTATGCAAAATCACATACTGCATTTATAAAGTATGGCGCATATATATTTGGTGCCCCCCTGTACCAATATTTATATGTTCAAATAAATAAATAAATGTGCATAGAACCAGTACATTGGATACACCATTTGAACATATTCCTAGCCCCCAAATGCCCTGGTACGGCCGAGAGTGGAGAGAGTCCGCTCTCCCTCTCGAAATGCTCTCACACGGTCACGTGTATACAGCCTCTATCAGGGAAGTCCTACTTACTGCCTTCTCGTGGCGGGGGTGTTGTTTACGAAAATGAGTGGACAAAAACTGAATGTCCGGCACCGGCTTTAACCGGATCCCAAACTAATGGTGCACATGGGCTGGCTCCAGTATCCTGCGGGAACAAATAGCGTATGAACCGATTGTTGGTCACCGGCTACCATGGGACAGTATCTCCTTACGATGCTCCACTACCTTGTGGATCAGACCATTAAGTCGGTGGCTCGTGGTGTGGCCCTCTAAGAAAACCATCTGCTTCGTTTTGGGCACCGGGGCAGTATCACAGCCCTCACACAAAATTGATGAGATGTTTGTGTGACGCATATGTATTTGGTGCCTCCTTGTACCAATATCTATGTGTTAAAATAAAATAATAAATAATAATTGTCTCTTAAATACATAATCGTTTTTTCATTTATGTTGGTACTCGGACTGCCTCTGTTTTTCTCTCACTTCTCATGTTCCTCTTCTGTCAGTAAGAATCCTACTTCAATATCCCGATACATACTATTTATATCTGTCTGTATAAGTAGCAGACACCACCTTATCCTCTCTCTAACACTAATATAAAGGGATTGAGACAAATGACTGTTAAGCTCATTTCTTACATGACCTAATCGATCCGATTCTCAAAGAGCATATCAATATATTTTTTCCATAATCTAAACTCTATCTCAACTAATCATATAAGGGTTCATGTATGATGAACATGTGATAAGTAATATTTCATTCAGTGAACTGTTATTTTTCAAAAATGACATTTAAAATATTTTCTTCTTTTTCATATACAACTATGTAAACATCTATTCTAGTTCTCCTACTTCTTGAACTAATAAAACTAAGGACATATAATTCAGATTGTTGATCTTATGAATGTAAACCAACTAAGGAGAATTATTTATTCACTTATTTGAACACATAAGTATTGGTACGAGGGGAGTACCAGATATATATGCGCCCCCTAATGCCCTGGTACGGCCGAGAGTGAGAAGAATCAGCTCACCCTCTAGAAATGCTCTCACATGGCCACGCATATATATCCTCTGCCAGGGAAGTCCTACTCACTGTCTTCTCATGGCGAGGGTGTTGTTTACGAAATTGAGAGGAAGAAGAGCGAATGTCTGGTGCTTAAATCGGGCCGGTGGACACGGTGAGTCCACCTAGGAGAGTTTGAAAACCCTGATTCCAAACCATCGGTACACATGGGCTGGCTATAGTATCCTGAGGGAACAAATGGTGTATGAACCAATTGTTGATCACTGGCTACCATAGGAATGTATCTCCTCACGATGCTCCACTGTCTTGTGGGTCAGATCTTTGAGTCAAAAGCTCGGTATGTGGTCCCCTAAGAAAACCACCTGCTTCGGTTTGGGCACCCAGGCAGTATCACAGCCCACACACAAATAGAATGAAATGACGATATTTACTGAAAATACTAAGTAGAATTAGTTTTCAATGTTCTATTATTCATGTAACGTTGATATATGTGCATACATATTTACGCCTTGATTCGTTATTGAGTAGTAGTGAGTATGTGCTGATCAAATTCTATAGATCAAGTTACAATGTAACCAATAGTCTAATTTGATACAACATGTATATATATTTAAAATAGTTCAGTCATGTCGATTCACAGTGTATAGTTTTCTTTACTTTCTACCTCTGCATGTTTTAGGTATCACATATCTCTCACTGGTGTGATACAAAGAATATTCCAACTGGTCTGCTATCAGATCTTCTCCCTGGTCCTGTCACTGTTCTATTACCACGTTTTTCTGATAGACTTCAGGATCCATTGAGCACTCATTTGTTAAATCCAGGCGACAAGCGTGTTGGCATTCGAATACCAGATTCCGGTTTTATACGTAAACTTATATCAGCCTTGAATGAACAAACTAGATTCTCATCAATTATTGGCAATAATGTTAAACATTCTAGTGGTTGTGATAAGCACGATAGTATCAGTATTGGTGGTGGTCACCCATTAGTATTAACCTCAGCAAATTTAAGTGGGCAACCGTCGGCGATTCAAATCGAGGTATGGATTATTACACTGTTTATACTTTTATTTTTGAGAAATTCGAAGAATCCAATCGTAGTCACAACCAATATGTAGGGTCTGGGACAAATTTGCGTCAACTCAAGTTGCCACTCTCTTCACAAACTTCATCGGTACAGCTAGATGAATTTAATAATAGAAAAGTCTAAATTAAATAGTAGTATTGTTATTTTTGTGGAATCTGACAAACAAACATTTGAACACTGACCAAATTTTACACTACTAAGGAATCCTTTGGCCTCTTCCCTTATCATAAAATTGTTCTTTATTCAGCAGTTTTATCATTAAATACATCTATGGTTTTTGAGTGTGTTCTTCTAGATTTGTGTGTTTGAGCATATGTTCCTTCAGAGGATCGATGAGTAGTAGTAACTGAATACATCCTTATTAAATTGACCTCGTCTTTACTGTTATATCCGTAGAATGTTTAACTGACTTGGTGCTCGATAATGGGGATATCGTGAATCAGACGACCTAAGTAAAAATGCTAAGTCAATAGATAAGGGTATATTTTACGAGTCAAATAAATCCTGTGATTTGTATTCTTACTTGGATTGCCCGATTCACAGTTTCCCAGTACCAATTACCAAATCAATTAAGCATTCTGCAGATGAAACAAGTATCAATAATAATAAGGAACAATAAGATTTGCAAAAAAGGAAAAATAAACCAAACTCATCATTCTATTTTCTAAACGTGTTAGCAGGTACAGACTATGTAGTTGAGTTTGGAGTGATTTTCATTAAGAGTTGTTAGAGAGATGATAAATAACATGGTTGGAAATCATTTACGGTAGTGCCGATAGATCCACTTTCTATCTTAAGTTTTGGAATTATTGTATACCATGTTGTTCCTCTGTTATGCCCCGACAAGAATAATGAGTGGTAACATTTGGGATTCATTTATGGAGCAATACTATATGTATAATTTTATTGCATAATTGTTAATTAACTAAGCTATTCATATTCATGTCCCTCTTATTATGAGCTTTATTTTAACCTATAAACTGTTATTATACGATTTTCCATTCTTGAATTATTCCCTGTTTATTAATCACTACCTCCCTCATTCACAGCCACATTTGGCCAGAATTTGTACAAATGTTGTTTCCTATTTTATGGTACGATGTAGTCTGTTTGGTTGGTATATAAACCGAGTATGTTTGAAATATAATGATTCATATCGCAGAGGCTGAGATTGGTGTTCTGGACTTAACTGGCTGAACTAGACAGGAAGCGAGACCAATCAGGACTCTAGACTGCTCGCATGTGTTCTACGTGTCATTGGTCTAGTCGATAATTCACTGCTCTCTAATCGGCGGTCACAAGTTATAACATCTTCATATATCATTGTCTATGTCCCATGTTGTTTTCTACTACCACTGACCCTGTTATACACTACTTCTACTATAGAATTGATCTTGAAAATGTTTTTCTACCTAAGCTGATCTGGCGTAATATCTTGGATCGATATAGAGATACTTGCCAGGTTCTACGTTGCTTACAACTGATTGACTATTTTTAGCGGCTTCTTATAAGCTTAGACGAGAAAAAGTCTAAATTCACAATGAACAGCAATAGGACTACCAACCAGAGTTTGATTTGATACATCAAATCAAGTTATGATATTATTGTCATTTATACCAACCAGTCCAGATTGATGCATATTTATTCAGATAAGAAAAATCTAGCCATGTTGAGTGATGGGGATGACAGTTTGAGATAAACAATAAATGCTTGGTCAAACGATACCTAAAATAAGTAAATAACAAGTGACTTATTTACTTCTTTTTTGCAATTAAGCTATGATTTCAAAGTTTACAATGTGTATGACTTTCAGTCACTAAGTCTCAGGTTCGAACGCTTCTGCCCTTATGTCGGTCACGGTAATCAGGTAGTATCACTAGCTTTTATACTTAGAGTGTCATTCAAAGTCAATTATGCAAGTTTGTAATTAATAAGTGACTTGCAGAGATAAAGTCCATCATTCATTTCTAATATGATTTATGTGGATTTAAGAAAAGTGTGATAAATCACTCTTTTGCCTTTGCAAAGATAATTTGTCATAAAGCATTTTCACTCATCACTACATCTCTTTTTTTAAACGATTTAGTTCATTATCATGTTGTTTAATTAGGTAATGACTTTTTCCTTTTATTAGGTGTGATTAACTCCTCCTGCTGTAACCTTCACTTAATTACAGTGTATTTTCTGTGCCTAGACATTATTGGACACCTGTAAGCACAGGGACTCCTCAGCGGTGCTCATTCACGACCTTGCACGTGGGAAACGAACCCAGGACCCTCAGTCTCGCGCGTTAACGCTTAACTTCTAGACCACTGAGCCGGCATTCAACGGTGTTAATGTCTAAGTTTAATCAATCCATGATCTCGTGTAACCATTCATTCGTTCCCTGCAGTGGATAACTTCCTTACACCTGACACTGTTTAGATCCACTAGCCACGGCTTATCACTGCATTTCTGGGAATTTCCTGTCAAAGTTAAACACTAGTGAGCATATGATAATTTTCATTATGAGGTTGTGGCGATTGTTGTATTTGATTGAAATCACGAATCGATTATGGATGCACACTGACTAAATGTCCTATATTTGGGTGAAACGACCGTCCAGTGCCTCCAGGTTTTAGGTGTTGTAGCTAAGATCATTTCGTGATTTTAACTTTGAAAATACCACGATTTCCTCAAATCCCTCATACAAATATACGTCAGTTTGAATTGTAACGGTAATATGGTGTTGTACACTTTTTATTCCTCAAACTCGATTCGTTACCGGTAAAGTATGTAATCCTTTGAAAAGCTATTTAATCAAATACCAATGCTCTATCCAAAGCTTGCAGTGAATTGTCATCGAATTTTTCAACCTAAAGTGTAGCATGCAGCACGTCAATGATATGATTTTGATCGACTAAAGTGACTGAGAAATACCTTACTTGTGTTTAACCATCATCTACCTCGATGCACCATGCTGTCTGGTGTTAAAGTAAGTTGATAGAAATCAAAAGGTGATCTAACCAAGAAATAGGATCATTGCATGAATTCATTGACTGTTAAACTAAACTGTTGTTCGTGACATTAGATGATGCGACTTAAAATCAGTCAAAGTAGCTCACAAACTCATCCATTATTTCTTCATGAATCTTGATTTTCAATATTCCGTCATTCATTGCTCATTTTCATTGATTCTTTCTAAACCATAATCCCCAGTTTTAATTCATATATATATATATATATATATATATATATATATATATATATATATATATATATATATATATATATATATATATATATATATATATATATATTAGTGATTTTCGAATTCTCATTAATGCTTAGGACTGCAATTAATCAGTCTCTTTTTGATTATGCGCATCCTATGCGTCGTGGATTCGATTGCTAACGACCATCTATATTTCTTAATGTTTAGTTTTTATTATTATTGTTACAATTTCTTTGCTGTTCATCTTGATAATCTCATTTCATTATCCTGATGTGTGATGTATGGTATGGCGATTTGAACTGGCGTACTTTTTCAGTAAGTCGATCATAACTGACTTAGTATGATTGATTCTGTACACGCATAATAACTGTTATAACTTGTGGCCTGTATGACCTGTTAACGTATAAAGTAACAATACCGCCAATTAGGAAGCAGTGAATTATCGACTAGGCCAATGACAGGTAGAACACGTGCTAGCAGTCTAGAGTCCTGTTTTTCGTCTAGCCCACCCAGTTAAGTCCAAAACATCAATCTCAACCTCTGTAATATGAATCATTTATTTCAAGCACACTGGATTTATATACCAATCAAACAGACCACATCATACCATAAAATAGGAAACAACATTTGAACAGGAATTAGCCAAAAATGGCTGTGAATGAGGGAGGTGGTGATTAATAAACAAGTCCCAATGAGTAGAAAAAAAAAGAATTTTCTGATGTTTCGTGACTCAGTGTAAGTCACTTCTTCAGAAAATAAATCAATAACCAAATCAAAATGAATTCAAGCTTAACAAGTACAAATGGAACAACACAAGAATCCTTAACATTGCACACACACACACACGAATTTACATACATGTCGCTTATGAATCACCTTGACCGAAATGACATGACATTGATTTATTTAGAGCTGGTTTTTTTTTTATTGATCACACCTAACATTCATGGTTGGTTTGTACTAGCTAAATTTGAATTGATTTTGATTTGGTTATTTATTTATCCTCTGAAGAAGTGAATTACACTAAGTCACGAAACATCAGAAAATCTAATTCTTCTACTCATTGGGATATACCTCAAATGGATTATTCATTTATAACAATCTACTCAACGCTCAACTTATTCGAAATTATCAAATCAGATCTTGGTAATGGTACCTATTATACTATTCAGTCGAAAAAGATCGAATAATCCATGTAGGGGTGGAATGGTTTTGAATACTTTATCCTGGTTAGCGTTTTTTTAGCGAGTTAGTTTTCTACGGGATGGGGTCTCTAACCCCATACCCAACCCTCCTCCATTATCCGGACTTGGAACCGGTGGTAGCCCCAGTAGGGCTCCAGGCGGGTGAAATCGTGCTAAAATAGTTCCTTCTCTGATTGTCTATGCATCCTACTGATGAATTACAAAATGAACATCTAACCTTCAGATACCACAATTTCTTGTCAGTTATTTTCAATATTGATACTTGGCCTTACATTTATAATAGTAATATCGGTGAGACTATAATTTATGGACGACCTAATAACTAGGATCAATCGAGGGTTATAAACCTGTATGAGGAGTTAGAATTAGGATTTACAGTTGGTGGTTAGGGGTTAGAAATTAGATTTAGGGTTTTCATCACCAACTGACATCAACTATAATCCGGAAACTCTATTTAGCCAAATAGATGAGTGAATTTCGCACCGAGATCCAAGACCTGTTATCTTATACCTGATTGGTTCATCCATAAATTATAATCTTGCTGTAATATCTTGTCTATCTCTCTTAAAACAATTAATTCTATACTCATTCATTTTATTGTGTTATGATACATTTTCTTCCTTTATATTAAGGAATTTTCTGAAATTTGGTCATCCATCGACTTGATCATCAATGGTGGTCCTATTCAATCTGGTATGTCCTCAGTAAACTCCGATTGTAGCCGGGCCGGTTCAACCATTATTGACTTGTGCAACTGTGATAAGTCTGTTTATTCTGTAGTACGAAATGGCAGGTAAAAAAAATAGACATATTTTTGTACATACTACTTGTGTTTGCAGTATTAGTAGTAGTATTAATAATAATATGAGTTGTTTGGTTTTCATTCTGAAGGACATATGTGACAACTATATGACACAATGAAGAAATTGACAGGGAAATCTTGTGAACCAGGTTAACCAGTCAAGAGCAAAGAAGGCAAGACAATTACTGATTTTCAAAAACAGTGATAGAACAGAACAGCTCCACCGAACATCAAAGCAACCCCTACAGACCTTCCTTTAGATGTCACCCCACCAACGATCGAAAAAATCAGGATGGCCATCAGACAAATTGAGATTTGGAAAGCAACAGCACCTGACAACAGACCAGCTGAAGCACTGAAGTCAGATATTAAAGTAACTACAAACATGCTCCACGTTTTATTCAGAAAGATTTGGAAGAAAGAATGAGTACTGGCAGATTAGAAAGGAGATCTGAGCAAGTATGATAGGAACAAAGGGATAACACCATTATCAGTACCAGGAAATGTTTTCAACAGAGTGCTGCTGAACTGGATGACAGATTGCGTAGACGCTCAACTTGATATCAACAGGCTGGATTCTGTAAGGATCAGTCGTGTACGAATGATCGTTAAACAATCAGTTGAATAGAACTCGTCACTATACATCAACTTCATTGACTATAAGAAAGTATTTGACAATGTAGTTAGGAGAACCTTAAGTAACTCTCTTTGAGACTATGGTGTACCTGAGAAGATCATCAGCATTATCTGGAATTCATACGACGGACTACACTGCAAAGTCGTTCATGGAGGACAGCTGACAGATGCATTCCAAATAAGGACCAGTGTCAGACAAGACTTCTTACTTTCGTCCTTTCTATCCTGGTGGTTGACTGGATTATGAAGACCTGTGCTAGTGCGGTGTGTGTCTGGTCCTACGTTGTAGCTGACTGACTGACTCAAGACCTCCTAATCTCAGGGAAAACATAAAATACAATGGATAGCTCAGAATCAATTAGACGATTTGGCCTTCGCAGATGACCTGACCCTCCTATCCCATTCACACCAACAAGTGCAGATGAAGACAACTAATGTGGCAGTAGAATCTACATCAATAGTCCTCAATGTACACAAAGTAAAAAGCAAGATCCTCAAATACAACACGGAGAACACCAACCCAATCACACTTAATGGTGAAACTCTGGAAGATGTGGAATCTCTCATGTACCTGGGAAGCATCATCGATGAACAAAGACGATTGGATGCAGACGTAAAGGCGGGGATTGGCAAAGCAAGAGTCGGATTGCTACAATTTCAGAACATATAGAACTCAAAACAACTGTCAACTACTATCAAAGTCACAATCTTCAATACGAATGTCAAGACAGTTAGTTCTACTGTAAGGAGCTGAAAGGTGAAGAACTACTGCAAGTATTTATAAGCAATAGTCTAAGCAAGATACTCAGTATTTGTTGTATGAAGACCATCACCAACAGCCCTCTGTAGGAGAGAACAAACTACCTTCCATCTGAAGAGGAAATTAGGAAAAGACATTGAAAGTGAATAGGACTCACTTTGGGGAAATCATTAAACTGCATCACGAGGTAAGCGCTAATTTGAAATCCTGAAGGGAAGCTAAAAAAAAAAAAAAAGGAAGACCGAGGAGCAGACAGCAAAATAATTTATAGTATTTGATCAGAAGTGGAAAGGTTTAATCCAGTACCGAGTAGGTTGTAGAATTCCAGAGAGTATTGTATGCTTCTCAACTAGGTGTAACAGGTGTAAGTATGATATCATACATCTTATTACTATGATAACATAATTTCGTGGTATTTTCTTTCACCTTGACGATTATTTTTCCCTTTTCTAGTGCATTCAATTCAACGATAGCCATATTAGAAGGTCGTTACAATCTTTCTCTTTCCGATAATTTTTCCAACATAAACAATTGAAAACGAATTCCATTTTTCATATAAATGGTTTAAATTCTCCCGGCTATTCTTCTTCTTCTTCTTCGTCGTCGTCGTCGTCGTTAATCATCTAATTCCCCTACGCTTTCACACTGCTCCATTTGTCTTCGAGTGAATGTATTCGTATTATTATTATTATTATTACTATTACGTAACCACATATTTCACTTCTCTTTGCACATTCAGGGATTTCTTCTTTAGTTAACTTTGATTTCTTATGACAAATTTGTTCACAATATGATTATGTTGTTGTATATGTATGTGACCTTATGATGATTTGCACCAATATTGTTATTATTATTTTTTTGTAATGTATCCATCGGTTGTTAAGATAAACAGTGATGCTAACATTTACTTCTTATATTCAGTTTCCGTGTTCTATTGTTATCTCTTTGTAATAAGTCATTTCACTTAGCTACAATGTAGGACCAGGACACATATATACATCGATCCAAGTTGTGCGTACCTCATTAGCACAAAAAGATGAACACCACATTCATAGAAGTAGTTACTTCAATAGTACTAATATATAAAAGTAAGATTGTGTATAATGATATAGTACAGGAAGAAAGAATTAGTTCCTAGAAAGAAAGATATGAAGTGAGTTTAATCTCATAGTTTAATGGAAGACAGAGAGTGTATACACCTACACAATTGTGATCAATCCTGACCCATATCACCAAGAGTCTTCAACCATTGCTTACGATAGTTACGCGAACCTCATCCAACGACGTGCGATGTTTTCTGGTGTAGGAGTAGGCTGGAAGAAAGCTAGGGGTGGCCAGACCAAAACATGGCACAAATCCATGAAGTTACTGACAAGTGGACTGAGTCATGTTGGTAGATGTAGACTACCTGATTGGGGACCGCGAGATGATAGCAACAGTTGGTTAGAGACCTTGAATGACATGGCTCAAAATCGTTTACAATGACGCAGATGCATCCACTCTTTGTGTTCTCTCAAACTCTAATCTTCTGAATACTTCATGTATTTTATTTTCTTTCTAAATCTATTCCACTGAACTATACTCCCTAAATAACATCATCAAACCCTAATGTTCGCTATCACTACCTCTTCCGCTACGGGATTTGAATCGACAACTGAATCTCTGTGCTAATGTGTTATGGCAAGTCGATCTGATGTACGTGCGTACGAAGTTCCACGTTGTTTCTGACTGACTGAGAAAAGTTTAGAAACACTTTGTTCAGTGGGGGACTACATTTTCTTTTGTTTGAAATTCAGATGTAAGAGATGTCTAGGGATTAGAAATTTGTTAAATATTCTAGTAGAGTATACCATATCACACATCGGGTAATGTATTGTACCATGTAGTATGTATTTCAACTGTAGACAATTAGAAGTTTAATATACTAAGCTTTATGCTTCAGTCTATTTCTTTATTTTTTCAAAATAAAAAGTCTAATCCTATTACTGTTTGAGGATTGCGAACTGGTTAAAATGTACAGCCAAGTGGGTGATTGTCAAGTGCACTGTTACATTGGATTCCATAACTCCAGTATGTAATGAAAGTGTACGTTGAGTTGATGATTGTCTTGATGGATATGTGATAATGATTCTTGAATTGTTTTATCTTGATAAATAGTTATGATTGAATTTCGGTTCAACCTTAGCACAATGATGAATTTCAAGTGAAGAAGATTATACTAATAGGAACGTATCGTTTATTGTTAATTCAATATGATAACAACTAATGCATACAATTCTTCAATCGCTCAAATCTTCACTTCCTTTACAATCATACTTGAATCATATCGATTGTTGAGATCAATAATCTCAGGCTTCAATTTGATATCCAATTTCAACTCCTTCACAATATCTACAAACATGTGTAGAATAGATGATCTGTAAATCCTTCTTAATTACTGATGACTAACTGTGGTATTTGCGTCTTGTACTCGGTTGCCCCCACACACACACACACACACTGATTAGGTTCATTTATGGTCATCTAGTTGTACCCAGTTTAAATTGAACTATTCCAGGAATTCTTAATTAGTACATCCATTCGAATAGTTGTAATTATCATACAAGATGAACACCAGATTCATGGAAGTAGTTAATCCAGTGGTGGTGATACATAGAAGAAAGATTGTATGTAAAGATATAGTACAGGCAGAAACAATTAGTTCGTATGAAGATGTATATTATTATTAATAGTAATATTACACCAATCTCCATGAACATTATCTACGGAAGGACAATGATTTCTATCGTTTCAACACACTTTGCTGTGTCGTCTCTAACTATGAAGCTAGGTGACATAGGATTGAATAAGCTAGACAGCATCAGTTCAGTCAAGATTACAGGTACACTTAACTGACAAGTGCTAAGTAGCACGAAACATCCAATCACTATCTCATCTCAACATGATGCATCCGATGACCGACCACAGTCACCTAGACTAGTAGCCACATTCCAACTTGATCGGTAGAATTCTTTGTCAACTAAGGAGTACTTGACACATTTGATATTGATCATTACCCAGTGATCAACCAATTGTAAACAAAACATTTCACAGTTATCAATCACCGATGAAAGTAATCAACATCAATAAGGATTATACCAAAGTGAATGTGGAGGAAGTGGCATCTCAGTATTTCACATTGTTGTTATGATTATTATGACTTCTGCTCACATCTGATATAGATAATGTGTATTATCCATCTATCAATCCACCTATCCATCAAATGGATTATTTCACTGGTTCTAACTTAACCAATTACCCATCCATCCATCACAGTTTATCTCAATCGATGTAGATGAATGTTTTGTCAATTGTGTTTCCTTGTTGATTTCTTTTTTTTCTAAAATGAATGTACACAGTTCTCTTTACTGTTTTTCAATTAACAGGAAATGTTTAGTTAACCAAGAGGTAATCTATTCGAATCCATACACACACACACACACGTACATACACAGCAACACACATACAAACTCATTTATATTAAATAGATAACTCTAGCAAAAACAATGAATGAAATTCATGTAAACCACCTGTCAGTCTATTCTACATAACTGTCGTTATTTACTTCATCTCCTTGTTGATAGTTCGTCTACTCTTGCCATTCGACTATTCAATTATTTGTCATTATCGATATGGTGGTTATCGTTGTTGTGGTTGTTGTGGTGGTGGTTGTGGTTGTGGTTGTTATTCAAAATAGTATCTATTTTTGTTTTACAGACTGAAAACACACAAAACCGGAATTCAAATTAGTGAAACAGTCTCAATTATTCTTCTACTCACTTTCCCTCACTCATTCTCCCACTCTCTCTGTCTCCCTCTCTGTAAGTGTTTTCACCTTCCATGAAATTGTATTCTATCCTAGTCTACTATTATGGTGTAACCATCAACTCACAAGTGTTCTGTTATGTCTCAATTCAATATGATTATAACATGAAATTGTATATTGGTGTATTATTATTCGTCTATTGTATCCTGAATGTTTGTTGTTTACTTATCATTTATTCGTTTAATTGTTGCATTTAAACACAAATCGTTTTAAGAATTCTATGGAGGTAACAATCCATATGGGGGACAATATCTGGTTAATGTGGACTAATCTAATTGGATAAAGTAAAAAGGAAGAGAAGACATGAATAAGATAAGAATTTCTATAAAACAAGAAAAGAAACAACCAAATTAATTTCCGGAGTTCATTTCCACTTAGAATAACTTGCAAATGTGTGTTTGTTTACAGTCACTGTGTGTGTCTGTGTGGATGTGCGTGTGTTGTGGTGGTAGTGGTGGTGGTGTGTGTGTGTGTTGATCATAGAATAGATACTAATTTGTAAATAATTGAATTACACTCCACTTGTATTGAACCGTTTCATTAAAGTTGAAACAGATTTCGATATTGTCCTCTTCAGCTGATCATTCTGACTATGAATCCGGTTTGAAATGTTCGATCACAGTAATTCAGATCGATTCAAGTTACAATAGAATAAGGATCATGATCACTATTGGAGTGTTATGATATTGATACGGTTTGGCAAGAGTTTGATGTATAGTGAATTTGGTGTTAGCTAGTTGATGGACATTCACAGATAGCCGTGTATCATACAGATCGTATTCTAGTTGTCAACTTAATGTTTCTTCAATCATGACATCAGAGAAGTTACTGATGAACTGTCGACTCTCTAATTGATGCATTCTGGGCAACACATTAAATATGAGTGTTCATGAGAGGACATGAAGAGACCACCATCCTCAATATCCGACAGAATTGAAGATCACATCCTTCAGGATTCCTAAATATCAATATAAAAGTCTTTGATACATACATACATACATACAGAGAGAGAGACAGAATGATCACCATTACACATTCATATTCTCATCTTAATTACCCTATCTTAATGAAAAACAGACATGTGCACTAAAAACATAAAGTGAATACCACCCACTAATCATAACCACAATTGATCATCTTTCATTTCAGCCTAAACTCCTTCATTGTACAATCATTCCTGCTGTGTTCCATTTCCTTATAACAAACAAACAAACAAACAATCCACCAGTTAATTCATTAATGAATGAATGAATACTGAGCTATTCATGTTTGTTATTGTCTAATATGATGGATAATTATCCACTGATCTGTTACATTCATCATTCAATAAGAGATAAATGAATATTACCCTCTAATTATAACTTGATATCCTGGAACACAATGACAAATACTCAACTCATTTGTCTATATGTCTATTGACAAACAAAAAAAAGAACAGAAATGAGTGAAGTGACCGCAACTCGATTGAAATGGACCAATCGTCATCATTCCATGATCCATCTGTGAATGTGATCAATTGAAATTTGTTGTTTTTCCGGAAAAGCAACATTCGAATTGGAGAATAGTGAAATATCGTAAGCATAGAGTGAATAAGTGGGAATACGTAAAGCCATTGAAGTAAGACAGATGGGATAATACACCAATAAATCACAGTGTACACACACTACTCCTACTCCCACTCCTACTCTCACTTTGACTTCAACACACACACACACCAACAATCATTTAGTTTAATCTTCAACTAGACAGATGTCCTAGTTGATATTCTCCACACAGCATGATATCGAATGAGAATTATGTCAAATTCTATTTATAACAATATCAAAATATACAAGTGGATAAGACACACTTGTTCAACTCGTGTCCAACATACAACAAACTACAGAACAATCACAGATCCATATAGATCTATATTGGATTGGAATAGTTATGATCATTGATGAATTCATCATCATGATCCATTCAACTTGAATTTACTAATCAAATCAGACATTAATGAAGTAATTCATAGGACAGTGATGTGCAACTATCGATCTGTTGTGCCATCTGTATTCA